TGTATACACAGGGTGTCCCATCACTGATGATAAATACTTTTAAGACAGATTTTTTGAAGAACATCTTAATACGGAAAATTTAGTACCAAAATATCGAGGTTATGCTAATTTCCAAATGGGAAGCATTTAAAAATTATGAATGACGGGCTAAAATTTCGCGCGCTTAGGATTGGCAAGATGGTCAGTGTGAAGGTGCTTCTTTGAACTTGATGTTTTTTGATAAAACAAAATTCAACATCTTTACACTGACATCTTGCCATCCTTGAACGCATGAAATTCTATCTCCGTCATTCGTAATTTTTAAAATCTTCCCATTTGAAAACTACCATAGCTTCAACATTTTCGTATTAGACTTTTCGTCTAATACGAATACCTAAAATGTTACAAAAATCTGTCTTGAAAATATTTATCGTCAGTAATGTGACACTCTGTATATATACATATATATGTGTGTGTGTGTGTGTGTGTGTGTGTGTGTGTGTGTGTGTGTGTGTGTGTGTGTGTGTGTGTGTGTGTGTGTGTGTGTGTGTTTTTTATGTATATATATATATATATGCATGTGTGTATGTATAAATAGTTTCTCTATTCTATTTCTTTCATATTCTAAATTGTTCTTCATTTTAAATTATTTTCTGAATATTCCTTTCGTTTTACTCTCTTGTATTTGTGACATGAAATTAAAGAACCTTGGAATGGGAAAATAAGTAAATGACAATATTGCACATTTTCATTTTATTTATGCGTTATACAGAATGAAATTGTTGAATATATTTCACAAATATATTCAACCCTTAAATAAGTAAATAAGTAAATAATACCCTTATATAGGATGTTTGTAAGTTTTGACAAAGCGCTCGTGTGTAGATAGAACGGATTAAACTGAGTCGAAAAGTCAATAGTTGACAAAGATAATTACTAAAAATCGTTCTGAATATTGGTTTCCGATTCCCACAAGTGCTAGGGTTGCGGGGAGCTAAGGGGAGCTAAGGGGAGACCGCAACCGTGCTAGCGCACAGCAGCGGGAGCCGGGAGATAGCGGAGCGTCGCTCGGGATGTAAGCGGAGAGGAGCGGAGCGCGAGGAAGCGCTCGTCGCAGGGTGGCATCCTAAGCTTTTTTTACGCCGGCACTCTCACGCACGAACACTCAACAGACGGCACAAAGGAACACACTTTGATGTGGAATGAAAGATAAAATGATCCAATTGAACTTGATATTTAAACTTTAATATAAATTTCCACTTGAATTTGAACAACTCATACACACTAGATAATACAAAAAGAAATACTTAATCTCTACGGTTATACGACTAAAGAAAATTATAAAAGAAAAGAAACTGAGATTGAACAAAGTTGCGAGGCTCTTAAATAACGACGGAGTTGAACGCTAACTTCTGATAATATTACGCGCACAACGATTAGCAAGAAATATGATCGGCGATAATTTATTTAATCTGATTATTTTTCAGGAACGACGATAATTTGCGATTCTTAGCGCGGTGACTCTATGAACTTTTACTGCAAAATAGATTTCCACGAAGTGCGAGGGACCCGCAAAGGATCCTTGTTTATATACTCTTGCAACAGTGGAATTCTGTAACTTGTTATGCAATCGTTATGTGCTCATAACGACTGTATAACGAGTTACAGAATTCCACTGATCGTTACTGAAAAAGGTAACGAAAACGGTAACGCAGCATTACAAATAACGCGTTATTTCCCAATCCTGCGTTATAGTTTAATATTATTCTAGAATGTTCCATATAAAAAAAATCCGGTAACGATTGTTATAATTGACTCTATTGCAAATTTTAAAGCAGTAGGCTTGTTTTAGGCTGCTTAAGTGTACTAGCGATACCCTCATGGGTATGCCCGCTCCTGTGGCATTCTTTTGCGGTATTTTTACCGATATTGCAATTGTTATGCGCGAATTCTCGAGATCGAACCCGCGCATAGTAAGGCTGCGTTCAGAAATTACCAAGCCTGATTGGTTGTTGTTAATCCAACAGTAGTTCAACAACCAATTAGGCTTCAGTAAACAGAGAAAGAACGATCTTATTATTCCTGCCTCTCACTCTAATCATCTTTCTACCCCCACCATTGCCATCAGTGGTCCATTCTAGATGTCGATCAAGAAGACTAGAACTAAGGAGGATCAACTCGCGTGGTGGGGGTGAGTCAAAAAACGTCCGCGGCTATTCACACGATGTGCAGCGGCACTGCGCATTGTGTGAAAGTTCGATATAAGAGCGACAAAGTGACGATTATAGAACGATAGAGCGACAGAGAGGACTAATGAAGCGCAAGAGTGGGGGAAGTTATCCGTCGCCACTTTTTGCCTCACCCCCACTACCGCTATTGGCATGAGTTGATCCTCCTTAATTCTAGTCTTCTTGATGTCGATGGAAATTACGCCTAGATAATTTTAGGATGCATTTTTGCTATAATATACGTAACGTAACTTATAGCTTAGAGTTATCAGGGCCTCTATTCTTGAAAAGTATCGCATACGACAAACTAGGGAAATATTATAGTATACGTTACGTATACTATAGTATTTTCCTAGTTTTTTCAACATTGCTTTGCCGGATGGTGCGTTCGGAGAGTCGCTATTAGCGCTACATCTGTCACGCTACATTCTGGCTGCGGTCCACTTGACGCTACAAACGCTTCGAAGCATTCTTTGATTAGTCAATTCGTAAAATTCTTTGTTCTGATTGGTCGCTCAAACGCTTCGAAGCGTTTGTAGCGTCAAGCGGACCGCAGCCTCTATCTTCATTGTTTATTAAGGTAAATTTTCACGAGCTGCTTAAACAGACTATTTCAGCGACAAAAAGGATCACGTGGTCAAAATCATATACATATATGTAATCTCCTGCATTGCTAACGCTAATTAAAACACCTGGCGAAAACACCACGATGCAGACGAATATCTACCTCTCACTTAGATAGTGTACAGCGCATGCGCATCACCCTCGAGTATATTGTGGAAGTGAGAGATCCGATATTTCCTATCTCGCTGTCTTCGCATACTCCCACTCCCAAAAAGAGGCTGCGTTAGCAATATAATAATATTACATATATGGTCAAAATTGACGAATATCAAGCGTCCACTTTAATCACGTGATCCTTTTTGTCATTGGCTGCGTTCAGCAGACTCAACAGTTTTGCAACCGTTTTATGATTGTCTGCTGAGATAGGGGCTGCGTTCAGCAGAGAAAG